AAAGATAATCGGAATTGTAAAAGGTTTGCCTTTATTTGTGTACATTCACAATAAAAACAAATCTTTGTGCTTTTGTAAAATAAGCCTAAAGAAAAATAGGACGCCGCTTTCTGCCGTCTTGGTTTCCTTTCGCGCAGCACAACAATGAACCGAAACTCTGCATACTAGGCTACTTATTGCACAGTTTTTCTTTCGTTTTCTCGTATAGGCCTATTTATTATTATATTATCATTTATTTATATATTATATATATATATAGCCTAGCTTTATTATGTTTTTCTCTGCTGGCAGAAGCGCTGCAGGTGCGTGATGTGATATGATGACCACGTGAATCCTCATGTTCTGTTGTTTGCTGCTTTTTGCGTGTGTAAAATGAATCCCCGGAAAACAAATGCTAGTATTTTTTAATGGGTAACAGACACTTATCCTTTCTAATTTAATTCAATTCTAACTTAAAATAATCTTTTCGGTTAACGGTTAACAATCGGTTAACGAGCATTGGTTGTAGGTTAGGAAAAATAACCAAAATGAACATCCCTAGTTTACAGTTAGGCTGCTAGAGATTTCTGCTGTTTTTTTTCGGCAGAGTATCAGCCAATTAAAAGTAGCCAGTTCTTCAGACACAAACTCACATTCATCAGTTTTCCAGAGAAGGATGGCTCTCATGAAGCTATAGTCCTCTTTTAGGACACTTCAGAGCGGTTCGGCATACAGGCCACAGCAAGGTTCAATCAGGTTAATTGGACGGAATTGATCTTAGCTGATTTAACTCATGTCTGTTTTGTTGTGCCAGCTACGTTCACTCTCATTACTGGCCTCTTTCCAGTAGATCTGCTGAGTTTTTCTCTGCTCCTAACACCACAAACACTGCTTCCACCTTACACACTGTCACTCATATCTCTTTTCCCAGATAAAACTGTGAAGCTATGGAAAATCAGCGAGCGAGACAAACGACCAGAGGGCTACAATCTGAAGGATGAAGAAGGCAGGATACGGGACCCAACCACCATCACAACTCTGAGGGTAAGCAGAGTCCGTTTAAAGAAAAACCTTTTTGCGATGCCCCTTGGTCAGCTTGGACACCTTAGTCAAGAGTGTCCAATCCTCTTCCTGGAAGGCCACTTTCCTACAGAGTTTAGCTCCAACACATATGCTTAGAGGTTTCTAGTCACTGCGTCCAAATGTGGCCCTGGACCACAAAACCAGTCTTAAGGGTATATTTGTAGCAGTAGCCAAAAATAAATTGTATGGGTCAAAATGATAGATTTTGATTTTATAACAAAAATCATTAGAATATTAAGTAAAGATCATGTTCCATTAAGATATTTTGTCAATTTCCTACTGTAAATATATCAAAACTTAATTTTTGATTAGTGATATGTATTGCTATGTATTGCGATTTTCTCAATATTTAGTTCTCAATTTTTCCAGATTTTCAAATAGCCAAATATTGTCCTATCCTAACAAACCATACATCAATGGAAAGCTTATTTATTCAGCTTTCATGTGATGTATAAATCTCAATTTTGAGAAATTGACCCTTATGACTGGTTTTGTGGTCCAGGGTCACAAATATGCCTACTTCCATACTATATAAAATGCATGCCAAAAGAGCAGTATGACCGGAAATTAGTAGTTGAAGTGTGCATCTGCTGAACACTTTACTATCCCGTGAAGCTACAGGAGAGGAGTTGTGAATGGCAGTGAAGCAACTGACACAGGTAGGTCACGGGACAGTGACAGCATGGCGGATGTTGTACGTCCAAATTTCATTCAACTGTACACACCTATGTTAGACAGGATGCGATTTTGGATGCTGCTAGTGATCCTCAAGACCTTGATTGACTGGTTCAGGTGTGCTTAATTAGGGTTGGAGCTAAACTCTGCTGGAGGGCTGCACTCCAGGAGCAGGAATGGAAACCCCTGACCTATTTACTTGAATGAGGAAAGTCCAAAATCTCCACAAGGTATTGAGTGATGCGATTCCTCCCATTCGTATCCCCTTCTCCCCATGCTGTCTCCCCAAGCATAAGGAAAAGCGAGTCTTAATCTGTTGGCACTAGTATGTGAAGGAAAAAAAATAAGGTCAAGCTCTGTTGTAATTTGGCAGCCATAGCTTCCCCAGTGGAAGTGGGCACTCCTGGCGCAAAAGAGAAGGATTATGTGTTGGAAGATGGAGTTTCATATCTCGCCAAATACAGTTGACAAGGTAGGGGGTTTAGGTAGGATTTCGGAGGCTTGGTCTCATCGAATGTTTGATGGAGCTGTTGTTGAAGGTGTGAGAGTGAAGGAAGCCAATATGGACCCACAGGAATATACCCTCCTATATACATGATTTCACACTGTGGAAGTGGAACGTGTCCAGAGGTGACCTGCTGCTACAGCTGGGGGGCAGCTGATAAATGTCAAATGTTTTGTTGTGTTGATACTGTGGTCTTCTCTCCTGGGAATCATTAGATTGATCCCAGGCAAGATCTTTTTGTCATTTCTTCTTCTTTCAGAGTATACAGGGCAATTTTTGGCAGCTGCCCAAGATATATTGATTAATTGATTGCATTCCCCCGCCATTTTTCTACAATATTGTAATGTTTGGGAGAAGACTGCATAAAAAATTGCAAGGCCCCCTCCTTGCCTTTTGAGAAAATCTTAGAAAGCTTGTTTTCTGGCAGCTGATTCAAAGGTTGGAAATGCAAAGAAGTTTATTCCTGGCATAGGGCATTTGAGGAAAAGTGTAATTGAACTCTGTAAATTACACATTGCCTTGACTTGTCGGTTCCATGACCTGGCGGTTGTGCTCCTAAATAATGATCTGTGGCGCTTATTTAAATAATCCAAGTTTGGATCAGTCATTATTCATAAATTTAAATTATTTAATTGTTAAACATGAATTAATTGCAGTTAATCAAATGACCAAGGTAAATATTGTATAATATAATTTTCCTTTTATCCAACTACTTCGCTGCAGCAGTCATCCACTCATCGCAGAATGATGCCTTATTTTCTTCACTGGGCTTGGATGACCCTCACATTATGGGTGACTAAGGAGGTTAATGTAAAATTGCATTATGAGAGAAGGAGATGCAATTCTTAGATTTCGCTGAAACATAATAAACTATCTAAAGCTTATAGAAACTGTTAATGCCCTGTGGGTCCCATTTTTGCCAAAAGAACAGATGTCACAAACAATGTAAACACTGTGACAATTGGACCAACATGTCAACTTCTGGTTTAACGAATAGCACGAGTTTCAGGGCAGGACTATTTGTAATTTTTGTCGTTTAGTATTGATTTGACTTTTGACCAAACCGCAGGAAAAAAGAGAGGTCTCGGTGACATCAGATCAAGTTATTGCATTTTGATTTTCTTATTTTATTGGTTGCACAGATGTGTTTAAAAAGTAAATAGTGTCAATTCTGATTTTATGTTGAATTCAAGTAGAAATGTAAGTTAAGTGCATGATTAAGTGCACATGTAAATATTACGGGTTAACAAATCTGGGACAGATCCAGGTATCTGCATCCTATTAATTTAGCATCAATTTATGTCTCTCTTTCTGTTGAGGATACAGTATACTGGTGGCTCTGGATCGTGGCTATATTTAGGAGATTGTTCTTGAGACGACTGTAATGTGTTCAGGGCAGCAGTTCCATCACCTCCTCCTTAACTAACACTGCAGCCCACTGGAGACCAGAGCTAGAAGAGATTAAATCCTCTCCCAAATGTGTGTGTGTGCGTGCACAAAAGCAGGGCATTTATCACTTTGCACAGACTGAGCAGAGAGGAGAATGAGATAAAGGGGGAGGCAAGGGTGGATCCCTCGCAGGGAGTCCACAGGGTGCATCTGCCCCTACTGTCAGACTGTTATCCAGCGCGACGAGGGGCTGCCGAGTGTTTACTGCCTTCATCTGCGTCTGCACTCCAAACACGAGGGGATTCACCCAGAAAAAATGTTTCTGCTAGGTGGAGGGGGCTGTCACTGTCAATAAAACAGTGAATTTGAGATATCTAGAAAGGCATGTAGCCCTATACTTTGTGTTTGACTCAAAAACAAAAGAACATGTCAGCTAAAGGGATGTTTGATTTTGTTAGGCTATAAAAAGCAGCCTAGTGGAAAAAAGATACTTTCCAGGGACCAAGAGGGTGGTGCAGGGGCCCAGTGCCAGTGTGAGAGGGTTTCAGGGGAACCGTTTGTTGATCTCATGCGTATGTTTGTTCGCTTCATAAAACAAAATCATTTGGATTTTTGTTATTATATTGTACCCCATACAGTTAATTCTAGTCCTCGGCTTTTTCCTTTTTGTTTCGCTCCGCTTATTTTCATTTTCTCATTTCAGATTGTCAGTATGTGCATTAGTGGTGGGGATTTTCAGTGACTCTTTCTGCAGGTTACATTGTCACACCAGTAGGTGGCGATATGTAACTGTCTTTATGACTGAGTCATTTTACTATCTCATTCTGTTTTATCTTTACTATCTCAATCTCATGAGTCAAAACTTATACTTAAGTTGTACGTAACATTACAGTGACAACATGACACTGAGTTATGTCTGGATTACATACATGCTACACACGTTTATAGAACATACTTTTACATACCTTAACATACCAACTTTTGAAGATCAACTTATTATTTTTATCAACTGACTATCACAAAAAAAACAAAAAAAAACAAGCAAAAACTCAAAATCGAACTCAAAACAAAAACGAATCCTTTGTGCTCTCCGAGCGTTTTGGTGCCAAAGTCTTTCACTGCAGCTTTAATGTCGATATTGTGAGCATGGGCATTCTCAATACTCAGAAGAGCACAGTCTGGACAGTCTTTCTTGTAACATTGTGCTCCGGAGAAATGTCTTGGTCACTTTCAATTTTTAGAACGAACAACAGCAATTGTATGGCAAAGTCTGCTTACAAGTCGTCAGTGTACCCAACCAATGAAGCATTTTCCATTTAAAACAGGTCAGACAAACATTGTCAGAGAAGCGCAGAAGCGGACCAGGGCACAAAAATATTGTTTGCAACATCAAGGTGTAGCTACTGAATTTGGTCTTCTAATGTGTTAATGCATTCAGCCACATTAAGCGTAATGATAATCTAAAAATGTGCTTCATGTGGTAACATCTAAATCAATTAATTTTATTTAAAAATGTTATTTAATATTATAAATATATTAGGTTACACCAACAAAGCTAAATTTAAGGGTAAGAACAGGTAGAAATAGCTCTTTAATATAACAATTGCTCGTTGCATTCATATTCTGGGCTCTTCTGCAGAGTTTGATGTTTTAAGGCCACTGTCTTAATGCATAAGCTACGTTAAACGTAAAAATATCCACTCCGATTACAGTGCCGTTTTAGAAGTATATAGTTTATGACAAGTGAATTGAAATTGAAATTTTCCCTGGTTGAACATTAAGCCACATTAAGAGTCTTTCACACACTTTTCCACTCCACTGCACTACCTTTGTGCTTGCGTTTCGTGTCTTTTGCAGTGTCTCAAGCATGACACAGCATTTTAAAAATGCAGCGCTCAAATCAAAAGAAGTTTAAAAGACCTTGTGTTTTTTCCAAATTCCCCTTCTGCGTCTTGGATATTTCAAAACAAAAACTTGTTCTGTGAGATTTGTGAATGCCTTTTAGAATGTCCTGCGACGGGGCCCACTAAAGGGGCGGGGCCTCCACGCATCGCGGGGGTGTCCGGTACACCACTGCTGAGAGAGTGTATGATTTTGAACGCAGCCATTGTGTTAATGAGTGAGATGAGTCTACCAAAATTACAGCATTTGGTAATTTTTGTAGACTCAATTTAATTTAATTAATTAAACATGTTTAAAGACATTCAACACATTTAATACAAAGTTCTGTCATAGGTTCTAACACAATCTAATATAATCAAATCATGATTGGTTTCTTTCACATCAGCAGCCAATGAGCTTGCTGCTCAACATTCAAATACTCAGCTAGTACTTGCTGTAGCAGTTGCAGTGGGCTTCAGAAACCCTCCACCTTCCCCAGTTCCACCTGTATAGATCTGCTACAGGGGAATTTCATATATGTTATACATGGGGGTCATTTCATGTAACTTATATGTGCAGCAGCAGTATTTCTTGCATGCTCACAGCAGCATGTCTGTGGATGTATTGGGAGTAGCAAGTCTCGGTACTTGCTCTGCTGCAGTAGTAGCAGCAGCGTGGCAGATCTATTCTACCAAGACCTACATTAACACATTGCCGTGTATACCCCTCCTTTGAAGCACATGTAGGAACGTTGGCCCTTAGATTAGTCATCATTAAAGAGATGATGGTCCTTCGCTTACTATTACCATGCTGCATTGTGGGAGTTAGACTCCACACGTCTTCAGATCTTGACAGTTTGGCTTTGGGAGTCGGGACTAGGTGTGGGCAAGTAATTTGAGAACAAAAGACCACCTCATTTATTTCAGCTCCAGGTACTGTATGGTATCTCTATTTGTTTTCAGAGGAAATAACAATAACACATTGTATAGTAAAAAGGATTTTTCAGTGTCTGATGCTGATATTTGGAGGATAGGGTGGCTGATGATCCAAACAATTCCAATATAGATCCATATAATTCCAATTTCGGTCCTGGATGCTGATTAGTAAATACAGTGTTCCAGCAGACATAGAATACAAAATATAGTAAAATATTTGGCGTAAAACACCTGTTCCTGCTGAACCTGGCGAACCCATGAAGACAGACTAAAACTTTTTTTATATATATATATATATATATATATATATGACAATTTTATATATAATTAATATTATTTATCGAGACCTATTACATCATATTACTTAAATATAACAAATGAGAAATACACAGAATTGCCGAAATTAAATGACTTATCTTAGGCTATATTTAATCAAGATTCAAGAAATTGAGTAGGCTAAATTTGGGCTGGCTCATATAGTCATTCACTAATGGGAAGGACATCCATCCATTTTCCAAACCGCTTGGGATGCTAAAGCCTATCCCAGGCTCTTCGGCCAAATACAGGTAATCACCCATGGTTGATGGCCAGTCTATTACAGGTATAACACATACATGAACTCTCACAATTTAATCTTTAATTCACCTATCCTGTATCTCTTTGGGTTGTGGGGGAAACCAGAGTTCAGTTGGGACCTGGGACCTGAGCTACCATGCTACAGGCGATGTTTTTAAGCAAATATTAAAATTTTTAAGAATCCCATATCTCGGTTCTTATTGCAAATATTGACGTTCCCTTTGGTGTCTCTCTTTTCCAACCATGTGTCTTCCTTCTCCTCTCAGGTGCCCGTGTTGAGGCCCATGGACTTGATGGTGGAGGCAACACCACGTCGCATTTTCTCTAATGCTCACACCTATCACATTAACTCCATCTCGGTCAACAGTGACAATGAGACATACATGTCCACGGATGACCTGAGGATCAACCTATGGAACTTGGAGATCACAAACCGAAGCTTTAGTATCCTTTTACAATCAGATGGTTAATGACAATCTGAGATGGTTGCATGTCAGAAAAATATTGGGTCTCTGTTTTTTGTTATTGTACTAAAAGAACTGGGTTCATACATATATAAACTGCTTATCCTAATTAGGATCACGGGGATGATGGACTCTATCCCAGTGTCTCAGGCCAAAGGAAAAGAAACACCCTGGGCAGATGACCAGCCCATCACAGGGCCTGCTATAAGAGTGAAAATGTAAAAATTGAATACTTTAGGTAATGTGCCAAGTCAACATATCTATGATATCTCCTACACGCTAAAAAATGCTGGGTTAAATACAACCCAGTGCTGGGTAAAATATGGACAAACCCAGCAATTGGGTTGTTTTGACCCAGTGGTTGGGTTACTACCCAGAAGGTTGGGTTAAACATTTAACCCAACCGCTGGGTAAAAACAGCCCAATTGCTGGGGTTGTCCCTATTTTACCCAGCACTGGGTTGTATTTAACCCAGCATTTTTTAGAGTGTACCGTTTGGCTACAGTCCTGTTACTTGATGGAAGAATTGATTGTTGTACTTATACATTTTATCATTAATATTTGATTAAAAGATAAACTTTTTGCATCATACGTCACAGCATCCTTTAACTATTGTAAAATCACAGTTATGCCCTACCTCCTGTGGCTTATTGCTTTATTTTCCCAGTAGTCACTTTGTACCCAGACACAATAAATACTGACAGGCTTTTGTTACTAAACTAAGGACAAAAGGAATCCGCTAAACCAGCAATCAAACAAACCCAATAAACCACCTGCAGACTGTCTCTGCTGTCACTTAATTCTGACAGATAACACCTCTGTGATGTACAGTACACCCCTTACCCTTTATCAAGTGTCCACCACTAATCCTGACCCCTGCTTTGCCGTTCCAAAGGTAAATAGTGTCCAGCTTACTCAGGCACGCACCCCCATCGATCACTATTGATTACTGTTCTCAAGGACCCTGCAGAGCTGAGATGAAGAGCCTGTGGACGGTCTGTATGGGTGGCTATGGGTTCTATGCAGTCGCTCAAGGGATAAGAAGATAAAGCCTGTTATTAGCCAAAGGTCAGACTGTAAATGTTTGATCCTCACAACATGTCATGATGGATAACCTGTCACTACATGCATGCATGTGATGCTATATTTATGGCTCCTAGAGTTTTTTTATCTAACGTTTTTTAATATAAGCCAGTTCTGAAAGTGTAAATTCTCTTGGGAGAAATTTAGCATGAGAGATTTTCTCAGTTGCGGATTTACCTCTTTGTAAGCTGGTTTCATCCAATCATTTGGGAATGTAGATCTGAAGTAATCCACCATATGTATACTGTAGGGCCAGACACATTAATCAAGCACATTTATGGAAAGGGTTTTAATGATTCATGGGGAATTCCGTGTGCTTCGAGTATATGAAATGTAGGATTGTGGATCCTTCACTCTGCCTACTCAGATATTGTGGACATAAAGCCAGCCAACATGGAAGAATTGACCGAGGTGATCACAGCGGCTGAGTTTCACCCTAACCAGTGCAACACGTTTGTCTACAGTAGCAGCAAGGGCTCCATAAGATTGTGTGACATGAGAACATCCGCACTTTGTGACAACCACTCTAAATGTGAGTTCACTTTAGTCTTTGGTTTTCTTGTTGGAACTTTGATTGAGATGTGCCATTCATTTCGCCTGCCAACTCTTGGTAGCCATTAGATATTTTTCCTCAAGATCTTGGTTTAAACCAAACAGGTTAAAGCCATCTTTAAATTTCAGTTGGGTTCACAACCAGTCCTTCTATGACCCATATGAGAATCAATCCAAGACTAGACCCCTTAAGGCCCAAAACCAGAAAAAAATCCCAATTCCAAAACACTGAGTTGGTCCAAGAACTAGGAAAAATATTAATTTTAATTAACCGATATAGAGAAAATACTGAAGTTATTGCAGCTTTTAATAAAAAAACTTTGAGTATTGTATTGTAGTACAGAGTTTTGTAGTTGAATATGAAAGTAGTTTGAAAGCAGTATAAACTGACACCAAGATCCAGACCAAGGATATGAGAGGTTTTAAGACCAAGGCCACAAGATCAAGGCCCCAATTCTGCTCCTGAAATATTACTTATATATTAATGTCTTCTTGTTTCTCTTCATCAGTATTTGAGGAACCAGAAGACCCCAGTAATCGCTCCTTCTTCTCAGAGATCATCTCTTCCATCTCAGATGTGAAATTCAGCCACAGTGGACGCTACTTGATGACCCGTGACTACCTCACAGTGAAGGTGTGGGACATCAACATGGAGAGCAAGCCTTTGGAAACTTACCAGGTATTGGCTATGCAGACTGGACAGTGACCCGTTATTACATTTATAATGATTGGTTTATAATGACATCAAAAACTAGTTTTATTGTAGTTGCCGGTCAAATATTCCACTAGGTATTGATCATCTTTGCTTTCGGTTCTACCTTTGACAGGTCCATGACTACCTTAGGAGTAAGCTATGCTCACTGTACGAGAATGACTGCATCTTTGACAAGTTTGAATGTGTCTGGAATGGAACTGACAGGTCTGTCAAAAGCAGGGGTGTCTGGTCCTTCTCCTGGATGTCCACCTTCCAGCGTTTAGCTCTATTCTGGAACTTTTGAGTAATTCTGAAACCCTTGATTAGCTTGGAGCCAAACTTTACACCAAGGATGGCCAACTCTGGTCCTGGAGAGCCACTGTTCTGCAGAGTTTAGCTCAATCAAACATGCCTGAAGAATCTAACCTAAGTCTCCAGGATTGCCTGAAAATTGCAGGCAAGATATGTTTAATTAGGGCTGAAGCTGACCACTGCGGGACAGTGGCCCTCCAGGACCTAAGTTGCCCATCCCTGCTCTACAGGAAGATGGACCTCCAAGATAAGGATTGGAATCCCCTAATCAAAAGCAATCAATCACACATGGTTTTTCAAATTGATTTTGGACTGTGTGGTGCTGGTATCAGGTAATAAGAACTAATTGTCTTATTCCTTTCCCATTAGTGTCCTAATGACAGGCTCCTACAACAATTTCTTCCGTATGTTCGATCGGAACACTAAGCGCGACGTGACTCTGGAGGCCTCGCGGGAAAACAGCAAACCTAGAGCCATTCTCAAGCCACGCAAAGTTTGTGTTGGTGGCAAGCGTCGGAAAGATGAAATCAGTGTGGACAGTCTGGACTTCAGTAAGAAGATCCTACACACTGCATGGCACCCCAACGAGAACATCATCGCTGTGGCCGCCACCAACAACCTCTATATATTTCAGGACAAGGTCAACTAGCAAGTAGCTCGAATGTCTCCAGTTATCACAACGACAAGAGGCATTATTTCTCTAGATGAACTGGGGGTGGAAAGGTTGGACTCACTAGCAGTGAACTTGTGAGGAACATCTAGATGAGCTTTGCCTTCTACAGCAGATTTGATACTGCACTGAATCTAACAAAACTTGAAGGTGCACTGCAAACTACGGACAATGACACTGGCTGTTGGACTGCTTTTGTTTTTAATTACTTCAAATCTCCCTAGCTATAGGTTGGTTGGTAATACACAGCAATACAGAGTGGATCCTTTTACCTTTAGGGTGCTTTCACACCTGGCCCGTTGTTTCGGAACCTGGCGCGTTTCCACCCATAGCTCGGTTCGTTTGGGCATATGTGAACATGGCAATTGCGCTCGGATCCGCGCCAAAACAATCGGTCCGAGATCGCCTGAACGAGGTGGTCTCGGCTCGATTGAAAACGAACTCTGGAGCGGTTCGGTTGTAGTGAGAAAGCAATCCGATCTAACGGACCAAGGAACCAGGCTATATCACAATGTATAATGGGTAATTACATAAGTTCCATGAAAAGAATTTGCTTTGTTGTTTTGCTAATGCTTCAAAATGAACCTGTGAATGTCTGTGGGAGAGCACGTCTTCGCCATTAAAAATAAAAAAAGCACACTTTCATTTTATAATGCTGTCTTATTGCTCTTCTTCCCAGTAGGTGCATTTTAAAAATGTTTTCCCGCTGAATCCTGGACTCCTGCTCAAAATGATAAATAAATGAATTAAGGACAGCTACAAAAAAAACAACATCCAACATCCTTACGGATGACAGCGGTGGAATCCCGGAAAATAAACCGTGGAACTTTGACCAATGAGACAACAGTTTACTCACACGTGACTTGCATTAACAAATTTGGTCCGTTTAGAAACTTTGCAGTGTAAAAGCGAACCGCACCAAGAATAAAGCGCAACGTTGTAATAATTTTAAACCCTGTTTCGGAACAAAGCAATTGATCTACAGGTGTGAAAGCACCCTTAATGTCACTAAAGGCCCTTTCACATGAATTCACATCAGGGCATCTCTCCAGCACCATTTGACCTCCATGAGAAGCATCGTAGATGCCATCATGGAAGGATGTTGCTAGGTAGCAAAAAAATGGGAAATGTACGGAGTGAAAATAAAGCAAACAAAAATGTACTTAAGAGCAGAAAAAAGAGCCCTTCTGATTGTTTTGAAAGAAACGGAATGTGTTTCTCTGAATGTCATGATATGCTTTTGAAGTTGAGCAGAGGCACAGCATCTTGCTTTGATTTTTGTGCTGGCGTCTCTCACGTAATGTCATGCAAACTTGGTAATCATTGGATGTGTTTTGAAAGTTCAACTGAAAAGCCAAGTCAAATTTGACATTCAGTGCTACAGTATTTGTGCAACATTTTAGCTTGGTACTTCATGCTGTTGTGTGCAATGCATTGAAAAGTCATGTGAAAGGGCCTTATGATAGCAAGAGGAAATGTTTCAACCGAGTCAGTATTCAGCCTACATCCGATACTTGCTTCTTGGCAGGATAGAGGATGCAGATGGCTTCGAGAACTGAACATGTTGTTGTGGCTGCTGTGGCCGTGAGGTATCCAACTTTTCAGCTTCCAAAATTGTATTTCTCATTTTACTTTATGAAGGAAGGTGCATGCATCAAAACCCAGCTTATGGGTTGATTGATGCAACAAACAGGAATGGTGTAAAACGTGCAAAAAAAACAAAACAATCGCGATTCTGAAATCGAAGAAATCGTTCGCGATAATAACAGCTGTTTGCATAGTGGCTCTGAACCGTGCTTCACTGAAAGATACGCATTACAATCGCAGCTTCTGTTGAATCGCGATCCCGATTCCATTTCGATTTATCGCGCAGCCATAATCGGAGCTATTTGAATTCTACACAGAATGCTATATTTTATAGCAATATGGATGAGATTGTGGCTGGCATAGCCTGTCAAATGCGGCTTTACGGAGCTCAACGGCTCTGAACGGCTTTAGCCCAAGCTGTGATATAAACGAACGCTATTGGCTATTTTAAAAAGGGGCGGGCTGCTTGATATGTCCCGCCCTGTCTTCCTGTTTCAGTTAAAATGACGTCAACACAGAGTAACGCGGCGTTTCTCTAAGCATTTCAGGGGACCTTTAAAGAAAAGGTCTGACTGAACTTCTGTCTCACTGGAAAGTTTTCAGAACATATTAAGGTACATTAATTTACATTTAGTCATTTAACAATAATTATATCATTATTGTTGTTGTTATGCGATTGTGTGATTTTGAACCCGTCTCACCATGGAGGTCTCATCCAACAGCTGCCTGAAATGTTCCTTCTTCCTCTTGGTAAGAGCCTCCACATGTTCTTCAAACAATTTCTCCTTCTCATGTCGCTCCAGCAAAGCAACAGACTCCCACCGGTGGTCTTTACGAAGAGTGCGCCTCGTTTCTGACCAGGAAGCATCCGTTATTAATTTACATTTAGTCATTTAACAATAATTATATCATTATTGTTGTTGTTGTTGTTATGCGATTGTGTGATTTTGAACCCGTCTCACCATGGAGGTCTCATCCAACAGCTGCCTGAAATGTTCCTTCTTCCTCTTGGTAAGAGCCTCCACATGTTCTTCAAACAATTTCTCCTTCTCATGTCGCTCCAGCAAAGCAACAGACTCCCACCGGTGGTCTTTACGAAGAGTGCGCCTCGTTTCTGACCAGGAAGCATCCGTTGACTTTACCTGTGTGTGAATAATAATAATGAAAAATTACAAAATGTATACATATAATTAACGCAATGTACAATGAGAAATGTAATAATTGTTAAGAGTGTGCCAGCACTGACCATATCTGACATGAGCGCTTTAAAGTGCTGGACAGCTTCCTCTCGTTTATGCTGCTCTCTCTCTCTGTCAATCTCTTTGGTTTGTTCAGACCGAGCTCTCTGCACCTCCCGCTCTCTCTCCCTCAGACTGGCCTCGGTACGAGCCTGCCGTTCCAGCTCTTTCTCCTTCTCTGCGTCCATGTTCTACACAACACAAAGACACTTATATGAAACACATTTTTCTAGTATCAGTCCGAGTTGTGTTTGTGTTCATCCTGATGAATCAATAGGACCAGGAACACTGTTCTAACCTTCGCCTGCTTCTCCACATACTGTTTGTACAGTTCCTCTCTAGCAGCTGAGCTCTCCACGGCTTTGTAGCGCGGGTCCGTCTCCAGCTTGTCCTTCACTTTGCTCCAGCGCTGAGAGACGTCCACATGGTGGTCCGACAGTAAATCGAAGAAGTCCTGCTTCACCTGCAGCCAGAAACACAACTTGACTTAATTTGTCAGGGCTTGACCGAATATAGTTAAATTCAACCTTAATTCTATCAACAGAACTTGTGACTTCCTGTTGATTCGAGTGGACATTTCAGGGTGGTTGTGAGAGGCCGGTGACAGACCTTTTCTACTTTGTTTTTGGAGTCGTCTTTGTCCTTCTTTCTCAAGGCTGTCATGAACTCGGTGAACATGGCCTCTCTGTCCTTCATCTTCTCAATGGCCTTGAAGCGAGGATCCTTAGAGTGTTTTGCGGCAAACTCACTGAATGTGGTCCTAACAGGTGAAAGGAAAATTGACATAAGTGGCAACTTTTATTACATATTTGCCTAGTCAATCTAATCAGTTTACACCTAGCATTAAGATTTCAGGAGGTCACACAAGACCTTTATTAAGCGCAAAGTATAAAGAAGGCCTAACTGAAACAAACAACACACCTAATGTGAAGTTTGGCATCTTCCATCATCTTCCTGAATTCATCTTTAGCCTGCATGAGTTTATTCTTCTTCTCCTTCCTTTCCTCTTCAGCACGAGTCTTCACATACTGATCGAACACCTGCACAGTGAATGGAGATAAAAATGGCAAAGCTGCCCACTTCTGCTCATTCAGCAAACCACTAAATGCCATCAAGTGCTCTTCGTACCTGTTTCCTCTCTTTGGGGTTGAGCAGCAAATATCGAGGGTCAAACACAATCTTGTGCAGCTCTTTGTCCCAAGTGGAAAAAGCTGAAACCTGCAGGTATGAAGTGGACAAAAAACTGGCTTACCACTGAACAGATAAAACAACACTTCAATCAAGTTAATCAACAAACATCATATGGGAGTGACTTAAAGAGCTTAACTTGTATTGAACCCACAACATTCCTTTAAAAACATTTAAAATTACAATGACACACAACTGAAATCTCTATGTGTCAAATTACAATCACTACTGCGTAATACTGATAGACATGGAAGTTAAAAAATATATACGTCTTCCTCAAATATTTGAATGATCAAATCAAATCAAGCAATACAAAATAATTGACCATTATACAATGCAGCAGTACATTCTTCTGTGGTAACAGTAATTATTTGTCATGCAACAATTTAGTACCAAAGAGTTTTATTCAAAGCTGACAGATAGAGATTCTAGTATGAACAGTGACAAGAGAGGGCACCAAACACTACGGTCAAGTAGGACTGGGCGGTGTGACTATTCATTACACAATATTTACAAGTGTTGTTCTCTGAAATACTTGATTCAGCATTAATAGTGATCCTGTATAACGACCGCTCATCCAGGTATGTGTCAGTGCTCCTTTCATATATTTCATATCACATTGTGGACTTGATCTCTCATTTAGTCAACTGGTGTGATCTTTTGTCTCATTTATAGACTGATTAAAATGAAATCAGAGGACTTCAGTATTTATAATACTGTAAAATTGTTGTTGACAGGATGATTTTAATAGATATTTCAAATGAGATTTTAAGACTGTTTCAACTCATATCAGTATTTCATGCCAACAAAGTTATTTATTTGGTGAAGAGCTGTACAGTCAGTGGTATCACTGTAAATGTTCATCTCATTTTCTTTGTGGAAGCTTTGAGTTTAATAAAGGTTTATTATAAGTTAAGATTGACTCGTTAACTACTTACACTGGACTAAATTGGTGGACTAAAAGTAGGAAACCATTAATAAGCATACATGAGGTGATTTCAGACATACCAATGGTTATTAAATATGCAAATATTTTCCCCCAATGAATTTCCAGCATAAAGATCTTGTGATAAATAACTTGTGATATACGCAGTTACCATGATATAAAAACTGTGATAGAAGATTTGGGTCATACCGCCCATCCCTATAGTCAAGCACAAATCATCTAACACGACCTCACTCAGAGCAATTCAGAAAGGACAGGTAAATAAACGGAGTGACAGAAAGAGCAGAGAGAAATTTAAGACTTTATATTACATATTAAAGAATGATAATAAGAATGAACTTAAGATTGTACCTTGGTGGGCTTCCATTCAGATTTATGTGTCTAATATTACAGAGCTGGTTAGAGTATTGCGTTGGATTGAAGTGTTTTACCCCTCTCTCCAGCAGCATGTCCCTGAACTGGTTTATGCGGGCCTCCAGGGGCACCAGGGCCCGATCGCGAGCGGCCTTCAGTTCGGCCTCCATGGCCGCGTCTTTCTCTGCGTCAGCCTCCTTCATATCGTCCTTCCTGTCAGGGAGAAGAGGACAAGTGTAAGGAAGAACTTCTTAATTCTGCAACACTTTTTTTTTGCTTCTATGCTTGTAAAAAAATAAAATAATAATAAACATTGGAGGATCTCTGAAAATTTTAAGATTTTATCCTTACATTGTTGAAAGAATTGACGTCTATATCTAACTGAAATCTATTTATTAGAACTATCAAATGATTTAAATATTTAAATCATAATTTTTTATGGTTAACAAATCAATGCATTTATTTCCTTTTAAGGAAAGAAAATATACTTCTAGAAACCGCTCAAAACGATACAAATTGTGACCATTTTTAATTTATTGAATATCAACATTTTAATTTCGAAAGCCCTACTACACAAATTTATTTCAATTTGAGAAAGTGTGTTCAAAGTCTAAGCACTGCATTATCCTTGCAATCTGCGCATCAACGGGTTATTTGCGTTTTGTAAGTTAGAATAGATGTCAAATACAAATATACTCGTATTTTTGCTTTCAGTTTTTTGAAAATAAATCCCAAAACCTTTTTTACATCAATACACATCACTGAAGGACTGAAGTTTTGATTGGTTCACTGGGGTTTGCCTAATGGAGGCTAAAAAGAGGTCAAACAAGGTGGGTTACCTTGGAGGCCCACGTTGGCATCGCCAGAGCTTAGAAGCGTTCCCTGAAAAATAGTCCCCAGTGCAACAGGACCACTGTTTGGGGTCAGGGGGAGGCAGGCGTGAAGGGCACTGATGGGAAACAGTGACTGATTTGATTTGGTAAATGTTATGGAGTCACCACTTTTCACAGACCCAAACTAAAGATTACCACAGCTAAGACAAGTCAGCATTGGGTGCACAAAAAAAAAATAAGAAAGAAAGAAAATGCCGCCGAAGATTTCTATAATTGTGACAAAAATGGTCCAGTCAACATGTCTTAGCTCAGGGCTTGAACGGAAACAGCCCCATTTCCTTCATATGACAAGGAATAAAGATGTCACGTCGCTTGTAGTTTCTTCCATATAATACAAAAGCTAGGTGTTCTGCAGGGGTGGGTGTTCGGCCCCCTACGGTTCCTGCTGTGGGCCATCGGTACTTACTTTCTCTTCTTAGCCTTAGAAGGCTCATCGTCCAGTGTGTCCTCTATGGCTGTGTCAATCTCCTCTTTGTTGAAACCTGCAATGAGAAATAAAGGTGTATGTTAGTTTTTTCGTTACTTTCAACAAAGAATCTTAGTTCACAAGCAATCTGAAACTTTATGCAGTGCAAATTAGTGTCACAGAGGGTTTCACCTATTTTCTTGTTGTCATCTACCCCCCTTTTGTGGGAGGGTTCTTGAATGTATTTGTCCACATCAGCACGACCCACCAGCTCCTCAGGTCGGTCCCACATGGACAGTCGTGTGGTGGGGTTGTAGTAAAACACACGATCATCTCCAGTCCAGACTACACACCTAAAAACACAAACATGTAAAAAAATTTATGAAACCTTTTGAACAAACTTGCAGACTTTAATCACTGAAGGGACGGAGGAGGAGAAATGCTCACCAGGGAGTACCAGGAATTGGGTTTGTGGCTACAGGTTTTGCCTTCTGTGCTGCTTTTTCCTCCTCTGTCATCTCCTCTTCCCTGGGCAACTACATCATCAAAAAATTATCAATATAATTTTTTAAATATTCAAAGTTTGCTTTAAACAAGTCTAAATCACCTGCGAACTTTACACTTACCTCTTTAGAAATGCCAAAGTTGCCAGCTTTGGCTTCCATGTCTAGATCCTTTAAAACGGAATCATTGTTATGGCCATCTTTAGCCTTGTCACGGTCCTTATCTGCTCAGAAAAATAAAATGTTTCTGAATATAACTCTCTGTGTGCTAAACCTGAAATGTTGAACTGCCAATGTAAATGGTCAGTGCAGTTAACAACAACAACAACATCCACTTACCTCTCTCTTTTAGCTCAACAGGTTTTTCCCAGGTGGACTCCAGAGTGCGATTGTTATAATAGTACATTTTCCCATCGGCTGTCTTGTACTCAGACCATTCAGGAAGTGGAAGAGCACCCGTAAAAGATGCACGAGCTGCAGTGATAGCTAGCTGGGGATGATGCATCATGGGTACTAGAGGAGGGGCCATCCCTGGCAGCATACCTTTAAAAAAATAATTGCATTCAGCAAAAAAAAATTTTTTTAAATTATATATATATATATATTAGAAACTTAAGTCATGACTTAAGATTAGGGTTGCAAAAAGGTGGAAAATTTCCAGTAAATTTCAGAAACATACCAGACATTTTGCAAACTTTCCAGGATTTTTTGGAATATTCCAGGGAAACTTACCGGAAATTTTCCACCCCTTTGCAACCCTACTTAAGATTAATCTTAATGACATTTCCATAAAATGTCCTGATATTTGTAGTGTGCAATACTGAGTGTAAGTGTATGCACCTTGTTCACGTCACTTTTTAAGATGAGGGCGCCATCTACTGGTTGAGCTAATACATTATACATTTAATGAAGGATATACTGGACCTCTACATTTGCTGGCGTTTAGCTTAAACTAACTAGCCAACTCAATTTACTTTTAGAATTAAATTAAATTATTTCTACATACCAGGCAGTGGGATGTGCATGCCAGGTAGAGGCACTCTGAATGGAGGTACCATGACCGGGGGAAATGCTGGGATTGCAGCGGACGGCTGGGCCATGGGCAGGCCAGGAGGGAGACTTTGAGGCAACAACGGCATTGTCTGCACTGCAGTGACTGTAGCGGTTACTGTAGGAACACTGACCACAGCAACAGGGGTCACACCTACACTAGCAGGAGGTGTGGAGGCCACTGGAGGCATCTCAGAAACAACAGACACTACAGGACAAATATAGCAAAGGGAAAGAATGAATGTGTGATTAAAGATAATAAGACTAACAATTACGATTTATCATATTGGCCATGAGTACTCTCAATTTGATAAATTATCAAATTTCTACTCAACAGGCCGCTACATGACCCATAATTCCTTCTCCGTGTGTAATACTCACTGGTGGAGGGTTGAGAGGCAGTGGGGGCTGGACTGGTAGTGGGGTCAGGGCTGGTGCTGAGGGTGTTGGTGGGGGACAGGCTCTGAATGGAGACCGGGTCGGGCACAACCGTAGTAGTGCTGCTTGCTGCAGTAGAGGCAGCGGTGTTAGGAGCTGCTGCAGCTCCTCCAGACTGAGCCGCCATTAGAGGATTGAGCTCCGACTGCTGGATGATCTTTACTCCCTCTGGTTTGGTCCAGGCTGACTCACGTGTCCGGGCATTGTAGTAATATACCTGGAAGAGTGTTGTGGGAATATTTCAAAAGTCCTAGGATGCTAATACTAGGATTGCATCAGGATGGTTGACTAGTTGTCCAACCACTATCCAGAAGATCCCAGGACTTACTCAAGTTTTATTGCTATCATAGACATCAGTGTTTATATCCGAACTATAAACTTTTAACCCAGTTCATCTGTGATCATTTCAATGTTTTTAACACAGAAATAACAATACTGTGTGGCTGTTTCATATCTATACATGACAACTGCTTTCTGTAAATCAGCGACAGCACAAACACAAATTTGAATGTTCGCTGTGATTGTACTTGTCAAAGGTTTAAGAGACATGAGGCGAACTCATTTAAGAATAAGATTGAGTGGGTGTTTGAAACGAGATCACATTTTTTAACTATTAAGTGTACTATTCAGTTATATTTACTTTAATTTAGAAGTCACTTTGCTACCTTTCCTTCTGGTGTAGTGTTCTCTACCCAGATTTCATCACTAGTCAAGCTTGAAACCGCTCCAGTTCCTGGCGATGGAGGCATTCCAGGTGGAAAGATCATACCAGGAGGAGGGGGCATGTTACCCATTGGTGGGGGCATGAAAGGTGGCCTCTGTGAAAAACACAACAGAATTTTTTATATTTAAATATCTTAAAATTACTTTCGATCAGTCTCTTGTAGTTTTGGTGCACATATGCACCTACTTTTGTAATAGAACCTACCTGCAGGTGTGGGGGTCCAATGGGTGGGGGCAAAGCTCCGGGTGGGGGTATAGGTGGCATACTGGTGTCAAACGGTGGTCTGCCAAAAGGGGGTCTAGGGGGTGGTGGGGGTCCTCTCATCATGCCAAAGGGTGGAAGTGGGGGTCGTAGTAATGGTGGAGGTCCTCGCAAAACTGTGGTAGGTGGTGGAGCAGGACTACGAAAATGTAAAGCCTGCTGTAACACCATCCTAAGGAAAAATAAATGACAAACATCAGCAATTACCACTATTCTTGGTATGCAAAACCTCAACTTGATTTTCACCGTCCACTAAAAGCTAAATGACAAAATTACACTACAAAACTAGTCAAGACATGCAAAGCACCCGGTTTATGTGATAACATTAAAGAAACATTGGTGTTTGCGCAGTTGTCAGGCAACTTATACATTTAATGAATTTCTGAATGTAAAATATAGAATGGGACGTGCTCGATATTAAATGTTGGCGATGCATCCGTCCACCAGCCATCAACCAGAACCATTTTTTGTTTTTTTTCTTCTAATCTCTGCTCTGGAATTGCACAAAACACTGCAATGAAATAATTTCCTGAACTATATTATTTGTGTGGAGGCCAGAGACGGGATCCATTAAAGACAGACACAAAGAGGAGAGCACAGGGGTGCTAGCAGAAAAAAAATACTGTATTAGGCAGAGCAAGCTCACTTTTCTGAATAGACAACTAAACATGTAATTTACTAGAGGTTCTGACCAAATGTTAATTGCTGCAGTCTATTTAAAAAAAAATAAATCCAATTAATTTGAATAATTTTTGTATTATTTTTTTTAACCAGTTTGATTGAATTCAATGACTCCCTCATAAAGTCTTCACTCGCTTCATAACTGGATGAGTCAGTGTTTTTGAACAAATCTCCTGAAGAGTGATTCAGTGACAAATACATATAAGTCACTTGTTAAAGATCCACCGAAGTGCTAAACAGGAAGACAGGACGGGACATATTGAGCAGCCCTGCCCCCTTTTCTAAATAGCCAATAGCGTTGTGTATATTTCACAGCTTGGGCCAGAGCCGTTGAGCTCGCTAAAGCCACATTCAACAGCTTATGACAGCCACAGTCTAAAACAGTGATTATAATGATGCTGAGGATGTGTAGTTTGAAAATCATGTCATTTATGTTGGTGCGTGGTACCAGTGTTATCTATTCTACTCGTCAGTGCTGTTTGTCTAACTGTTTCTCCTCCTTATCTCATTCATATAAAATTCGGTGTAGAATTCAAATGGGTCCGATACGTTTTGTGCCAGACTTCTTTCGGGTCAATGGAAAGCATATTACGCTGTCTGAATCGTTCCCTATTCCCTATATAGTGCACTATGTGCCATTCATCATGTAATAATACTAACTCTGTGAACAACTGACCGATTTCAGCTGGAGCTTCAGTGTCTATTTATCCGCTTGTTAAGTCTGACGTCACGCGTCACCGCTTCAGGGTCTCCGTCAGATGCCACAAGAAAATAACAAACGGTGCTAATATACACTCACAATGTGATATAATACTACCAGAAGATGTATAATCCTAACCCTTAACTCCATACCGAAATCCCAGATAGCCAGACAATGAAAATATAAATAAATAAATATACAAATTATTTTTTTCTGGGACGCTGTGAGCACGGAGACTGTAGTGTAGACCGTAAGTTTCAAAATGTTTAGCTTAAATGTGTAATATGAATAAACACTGCTCATAAACAACTGTTTTCTCAAGTGAAACGAGTTGAGGCTTGGACCCGGAAAAAGCATTTCTTACGTCACAACTTAAGCGGATAGTGTAGGGGCGGGATGCTTCGGATTCTGGAGAGCATTTGATTGGACAGAAAATCTGATGAGAAGCTGAAGTGCAGGGTGATGTCATCAAAATGGTTGATCCATATTGGCGGAAGTGAGAGACTGTAAATCTCCTAAATGCAAATTTTGTCATTGTTTTGGATCACACTAGCTTATAGATAACCTTAATGCTCACATATTCATACTAAAAAAAACTGTCAAAAGTCTTTTAAATTATTTTTAATGCAATGTATAAATCACTGCTCATGCTACATGTATGCAGCATCTTTAGAAACTAGAAGAAAAAAAAAAAAAAAAAAAATCACAAACTTGACACTTAGAAATAAACATTTTATACATAACATTTAATCATCTCTTGTAAAGTTTTTTTTGTGTGTTTTTTTTAATGTATGGGGAAAATGTAGTGGATAAGGTTGAATATCTTTGCAGCTTGTCAAAAATATAAAAGCAGCGCATGTCCGAAAAATGTAGTAACAGGAGCTTGAGCCAGTGCTATAATAAGTGGAGTAACAAGGTTTGTGCAATAGAGGTGTGCTTGTCTGGCCTCACGATTAAATTTGATTATGGTTCAATTTGTAACAATTTATTTTATCAGTGCACACTAGGATTAGTGTTGTCACACTACCAAAATTTTAGTAACCTTTACCAGTGAAATGCAACAATTCTTGATAGCAATTTTGATACCAAAGATGAAATAAAAAAAGCTACTGAACCCTTTTTTTTTATTTTTTTTTAGAAATGACTGAGGTGAATGCTTCCTTTAAAGGTCCCATATTATACACCTTTCTGGAGTTTTATTTGAGGTTTTGATGTCCTTAAGAATATATATTTCCGGTATAAGTACCAAAAACCATCTCAATATATTTTTACAGCTCCTTTCTCAGGAGCTCTGCTGATAACAGGTTGATTTTGGTCCGTCTTATTAATATTCATGAATCTCTCTTCTGATTGGCCTGTTGTTTTCTGAGTGACGTACGGCCAGGCCAACCACAGGTAACTAGGGTCAGCCGACGTCACAGCGCTAGCTGGAGGCAGCAAAACAAAGGGGAAACTGGAGGCGGCCCATTCAAACCAGCGCAGATTAGGCTACATAATGAGCTTAAAATATCATCTTATTATGTTGGGTGCCAGAATCGATGTAATACAGCCTCAAATTAGAAATTTGATCG